CACTTCAGTCTTGATGTGTATTGAAAATTTATACTCCTCTCTCCAGGGGGTCCGTTCTGGGACAGCATTTAAGGATCTATCAGTTGCAGGTAAATCAGTGGTTTGTCTGCCGAGCCGTTTGGTCTGGTGGATAAAACTACTTCTCTTTAGTCGTCCCAAAGCTAAATTTTGGAATCTTTCATTCATAGGGTGACTGGGCATACTAAGAAACTTTTCTGCTTGTAAAAGCATCTCGGTGTCTCTGCGTTCACTCAGTGCTTGGGTCATCCCCATTTTCTCCATCACAGCTATAGGTGTTGATTTCATACTGCCTGTGGTAACTCTGAGTGCTTAATTTTGCACTTTGTCTAATTCTTGCAATGTGGTTTTTGATGCCGAACTCCATGCTGTTGATCCGTATTCAAGATGTGGTCGAACACTTTGTTGGTAAACTTTTCTAAGTATTTTCCCGCTAGCACCCCATGTGGTTCCACTTAGTTTTCTCAGAATGGCTACCCTCCTTCTGGCTTTGGTTGCTGCCTTGTTGATGTGTTTTCTCCATGTTAATCTATCATCAAACGTTACGCCGAGGTATGTGGGCTCCTTATCCTCTCTCAGGGGTACTCCATTTATGTGCATGACACCTGATTTTTGTTTAGGAGAAAGGGTAAAGAGGGTGGTGCTGCATTTGCCTATATTGATGCTGACACACCATTTGTTGGCCCAATCAGCCATTGCATCTATGGCTCTTTGTAGCAGCCTTGTGGTCACTGTCGCATTTTCATTTGTACACCAGAGTACCAAGTCATCGGCATACATTGCAGCTTTAATTCCATGGGGTAGTTCAGAAAGCAGGTCGTTGATATAGACTAGGAAGAGTGTGGGGGACAGAACACCTCCTTGTGGGACGCCATGGCGCAGCAAAACTTTTTTACTCTTAAGTCCATCTATCTGTACTCGGGATCTTCTGTTATACAAGTATGCTTTCACCCATTTGTACATTCTCCCATTCACCCTGCAGTCTCTCAGTTTCTTCAGTAGACCTTCTTTCCAGACCTTGTCAAAGGCTTTCTTCAGATCTATCCATGCCGTTAGCACTAGCTTCTTTTCCTGGAAGGCATCCTCAATTTCGTGTGAAAGGTAAGTTGTCTGGTCTTCTGTGGAGTAGCACTGTCTAAATCCTGCCTGCTGCGGCGTGAAAATGTTTTCACTTTCCAAGTACCATTGGAGTCTAAGGTTGACAATACGTTCCATTGTTTTACAGAGGCAGCTGGTAAGACTGATCGGTCTATAGCTGGAGGCATCAGAACTGTCCTTTCCTGGTTTAAGCAGAGGTATTGTGATTGCTTCTCTCCATATTTGAGGAACTTTGCCACTGGTCCAACAATGATTAAAGATCTGTAGCAGCTTTTTTTTTTTGGCAGTTGTTCCAAGGTTCTTGATCATTTCGTTGGTGATACCATCAATTCCAGGTGATTTTCCCATTCTCAGCTTTGATATTGCTAACTCTAACTCGCTGGATGTAAGTGCTGCCACCAGTGCCTCAGGAATTATATCTTTTTGTCTTATATGTTGTTTGTTTTCTTGAACCTCTCGCTGTTTCTCTGGGCTGACATTAATGTTGCTGTCTTCTGCAAAGGAATCTGCAAAGTGGTCAGCTGCCTGTTTTCTTGTTAGGATGGCTCCCTCTTTGCATAGTGCAATATTACCATTTCTTCCTGTATTCTCATCATTAATTTGCTTAATTAACCTCCACAACTTCCTTGTGTCTCTTTCAAAGTTTAGAGACTTTGTCTTTTCTTGCCAGCTTGCCCGTCTAGCCTGCAGTTTGGCTCTTTGAAATTTGGCCTTTGAATGTTGGTAGTTGTTAAACTGCTCTTGACAAGGTCTGGTCTCAGCTTGTTTTCTTTCTGTTTCCATATTGTTGTGCAGTTGCTCCAGATCGCAATTCCAGTACGGTTTGTATTGTTTACGCGCACCTCTTGGAACTGCTTCTAGGGCTGCCTGCAGCATGCGTTTGCTCAACTCTTGGACTACTTTTTCTACGTCGTTATCTGTGTTTAGATTTTCCAGCAGAACATTTGTGCGAAGCTGATACAACTTCCAGTCTGCCTTCTTAAAATTCCACCTTGGCAGTGTGCTGCTCTCTCTTACAGACTGGCTTTCTATAGTTAGAAAGACTGGCCGGTGGTCACTGCCTCCTAGTTGCTTCCCAACAGTTCTGGTAACATTCAGTTCCATGTCTGCTGAGTGAAAGGCTAGGTCTGGTGTCGAGGTGGTATGCCATGCTCTAGAGTAGAAGGTTGGTGGGTCGGTTGGCTTATTAACGAGGATGAACCTATTCTCATCCTGCCAGTCCTCTAGTTTCTCTCCTCTCTGGTCCATATGATCGTATCCCCAACTTTGGGAATGGCTATTAAAATCCCCACAAATGATCATTTTTTCATTTATTAGTACTGTATCCAGTGCCTGAGGGCGGTCGCTCGGACAGTAATAGTTGGTCAGATGTAAATCTGTATTTTCTAACTTGAGCTCAAGTGTTTGATACTCAGCACCTTCCATGTATGTTTCGATCCGGCCCGCAAGGATGTTATTTTTGACCAGGTTAAGAATTCCACCTTTTCTCCTGTCTTTGCGGTCAGATCGGAAACACTGGTAGCCTCTGATCTTAAAGGCCCTATCTTGTTTGAGATAAGTCTCTTGTAGGCAGCATACATGTACATTCTCTTCGTTCAAAACGTTTTCTAATTCTAATTTCTTAGTATTTACTCCCTCCGCGTTCCAATGCATTATTTTAAGGCTAGCTGTATTTTCTGCTTTTCTGGTTCTACGGGGCATTAGGGGGAGGCTTCGAGTATTTGAAGCTGGAATCTTTCTTCTTGTCTTAGGCAGGTAAATCGAACCACGTGTGCGTGAGTGGGTCGCATGGTGGAAATCAAACTTATTTGCAGATATAGAAATATTCCCTGTTGCGTTTGTGCGTGGCATCCTGATTGCTGTGGTGCGCCTCCTGGCTGGTTGCCTCCGACTTCAGCACCTTGTTTTGCTAGAGTAGACTGGGGTCTTACCCGTGGACTCCCATGTTTATTATGGGAGCGTGGCTCCTACGCGGTTACATTATCGGAATTAGGACACGGCCGCCGCCGTGGCTATTTTGTGGAAATAATTCCGTTATAACACCCCTAAACCACATAATACTTGTATCCACGAACAAGAGAATATCCATCGTCAATGAATTCGTAATAATCGCACTTTGTTATCAAGAGAAAAACACCGATTAAGTGAAAATTTTAGAATAAAATCGAGTGTCGCCGCAAACACGTCTTCATGCTGCCATTTCTAAACCGGAAGTCGAGAAGATTATATATTAATATGTTCTAGACTAGACTATGTGCCACCCTCTGGTCGTAGCAGTTGTTAGCAGCATGACCACGCAAAAAGCTCCTGGGTTGAGGACACAAACTGATGGTGAGCATCAAGGAACAGTGGACAGTTGTTATCTTATGAAGCTCCAGACATTAGTGTATAGACATAAGTGAGATGTTCGCCGAGTATTCCTCATACTGTAGACTGTCTGCTGAGTACACTTGATGGGTTTAAAGATACTGATAGTTGGCTGGCCTCCAGATATAAGTAACATCCCATGCTCATGGAAGTTCCCAGGTGAATCGGTGATTCAAACGGAAGTAAGCAGATAGATAAGGCAGCAAGCCGTCTGCTTAGTCTGGAAGCTCAGTCATGAATGAGTCCTAAATCTAAGCGTCCCTCCAGCTAGAGGCGGCAGTGGATTCATCCGCCTCCAAAGCAGTAGTTAGGCCAATGGAATTTGGCTTCACTATAAAAAAAAAAAATCCAACCCATATGGCTGAATTTAAATATATTTAATTTGCATGAGATTTAGGATAGAATTGAGTAGTTATCCCGATATCTTGGCACATAATTACAAAAGAAGGACTGTTTACTTATGGAGGAAAGTCCAAGATCTGAAAATTGGTCATTTACATGGAGATGTACAAGATGTTGGTAGGTGCAAGACCAGAAGGGTTTGGGCTGTCAGTGCAACAACAACCACCACCATCACTCCACTGAAACGACCACAACAACAGTTTTAACTTTTTCAACCACCATCACCATCATCACTCCGCTGAAACGACGACAAAAATTTTAACTGTTACAACCACCACCATCACTCCACTGAAACGACAACAATTTTAACTATTAGGTAAAATAAAGTGAAGATCCCTTATTACGCCTAAGGCGCATCGGGTATATGGGCAGAGCGTCCCATATTTTTACAGACCAATCGGCACTGGATAGGTAATGTGGTCAGCATTACGCCGGCCGTCTTTACTTTCCCAGGACAGCCATCCTAGAACCCATTTTAGGCTGAGTCGACCTGCGACGCTCCATACTACGGTAAAAATCCACGCAGCCGGCAGTGGGTTTCGACTATTACAACACAATAAGAACGACATTTAACTAGAACAACTACCCTATCACCATCACTGCCACCATCACCACTACTACTACTTATACCACTACTGCCCAGATCAGTGGCAGTATCACAGCGTTTTTCCACATATGCTCCCTTTTTTCAACCCGCTCTCCCTCTTTCCTTTCTTCCTCAGTGGAACATGGACATCCAACGAACGATTGCCAGGTTTTTGCAGATTTGTTCAAGACTGGTTTTAGATTTTACACCTGCTCTTCAAACAGACGAGGAAACGGTCCTTTATTTTTACTCACTTGAACGGAGCTAGGAAGCAGAAGCAGCGGCCTAGCAAATGCATGTGGTACTAGTGCGGACAATTCCCTGGCGCTTAGGCCCCTGACAATACGGTGGGTTGTGGGGGGGGGGGGAGGGGGGGGGGGGGCTCTGAACCTCCAGTCTCAGCCACGTAAGACAGTGATATCTGAGGTGGGTAAGCTAAAGCCTTAACAAAATTGTCTTCCTTTTTTTTCTGACTAGGCTGACCTCTCGAGAAACAATACTTACTCTCAACCCCACCTTCGAGAAGCGAATGCGCAACCTTCAACAAGGTCAGAAGGTCACTTCCGTTGACCTGTGCAACATGTTGGTGCTACAGAAGAAGCAGAAGCGACAGTGTAGTAGGGGCAAGGGAGTCGCCGAGACACTTGTGAGGGCCAGTCGCCTGTCCGCCATGGAGTGCCAGCACCAGTTCCAACACGAAAGGTGGAACTGTTCCCTGGGGGATTATCGGAAGCATATTCTTCGGAAAGGTATGTCTTCATGTCGTGGTGTTGTGTTGATTGTTGTAGTTTTTACAAAGACAATTCTCAGTAAAGATAATGGACCCATCTGGTATATGATGCTTGATTTATATTTTTTTCGACCAGTTTGTACTCGGTGAGTTGTGTATCAAAGAATTAGACGTTAGTCAATGGAACGTGGACTGGCAGAACACTCAAGCTAGTAGGTAAACAGGAAAACATCAAAAGTAAAATGAAAAGAATGAAAGTAAACATCCTGGAACTGTGTGAAATAAGACATACTGGAGCAGGGTAAATGTTTTCAAATGACTACAGAACCATTTACTTAGGTGGACAAAAAACATGAAAGGCGTTTCAGCATAATTTTGGACAAAGAAAAAGCAAAAGCGGTAAAGGGATATAAGACAATATCAGAACGGGTTCTTTTATTAAGATTAGGTGGCAAATTTGTTGAATGTAATATTATACAGGTCTATGTACAAACGACAGACAGTTCAGAGGAAGAAAGCAATGATTTTGATAAACAGTTGAACATAGGCTTAGCACAGTGTAAAACTAGGGAAACAGCTGTAGTGTTGGGTGACTTGAATGCAAAGGTTGGGCAAGAAAATGATGAACACATTACAGATGGATATGGTCTTGGGGAGAGAAATGACAGAGACGAAAAAATCGTTGAATGGGCTAGGACACATAAAAAGATAATTGGAAATACTCACTTTAAACATAAGCAACATCCTAGACGTCTGCGGATTTGGAAAAGCTTTGGAAATCATTTTTAGAACAGATTGATTACATACTAATAAACAGCCGATTCAGAAACAGTTTGCTCCAGTAACAACAAAGACCAGGTGCAGACTATAATTGTGACCATCTGCCAGTCAATGGAAAACAAACGAACGAACGAACGTACGAACGAACTTCATTTTCAAAGGGTTACAAATTAGGCACGCAGACCTGTCTTTCATTCGGCCCTTCCAAGCTCCTATCTTTCACACAGCAGTTGTATCTCATCAATAAAGCATGTTATGTCCATGTAATAATAAGGAAAACTAAGGACAAAGCTAAAGAAACTAAAATATGCTCCAAGAAATACTTATCTAGATTTGGCAATGCTTGAGTCAAATCAAGAAATGAGTAAGAGATACACCCTTATTGTTCAAAATAGATACAATGGGGGAGAGACCAAGTTTCTTTCAGGCAGACCGTGATGAGAGTGACGTTCTGCAAAGGACCTGCTACATGTCGAAAAGTCCTCAGAGTCACCTGAAAGACCGACTGAGACCAGACATGGTTCTACGCTCTGAGGAAAACGCTAGCTCACCATGATAGAGCTGACCGTGCCGTACGAGTCATGGATAGAGGAAAATCCTATGCACACAATCGAAAAGTGCAGTGAACTCTTGGCCGGTCTAAGGAGAGACGAAGCGTACAGATTAAAAGTTTTCGCCGTCGAGGTAGGCGCTATAGGACTTATCTCCACTCCCACATACAATGTGATAAAGCAGCTGGGCTTGCGAGGAACAGAGCGTAAACTGTCATTAAAACAACTTGGCGAAGCAGCTGAAAGGTCTTCTAGCTGACTTTGGACACAGCGAAACGTCGTGGGGGATTGGCCTCGATAGACTGATCCAAGCCCATAGTGGAAAAGAACGTTTTATCCCTCTAATGCCAAAGTGTCCGATGAATGTCTGCCAGTGTCTCTTTGCTAAATGACTAAGTCAAAAACCTGTCCGATGAGCCAACCGTAAGCTTGTCACTCTGGTGGTGAAGGTAGTCGGCTAATTTGCTACCACAGCGACAAATATAACACTAAATCTCATAATACCTGTTGCAAAGTCACCACCTCATTTTATCCTTGTCCGAGAGTCCGACAAAGCACAGCATGAGAAGATCGTGGCCTGGAGTCATGACCCAAGTCGGCCAGCCTTCCGAGATTGTAAAGAAAGTAATGGGGCGAAACAATCGTCGAGGGATCTTTCTACTGAAGATCGATGGACCCCTTCTGTGCATGCTCCCTTGTGGAGTTCTTTTTTAAATGATATAACTGACTATAAATAAACAGAGGGGGAACCTTCGAGGCCGTTAAATAGTATGAATTAATTAAGTAACAGAAAGTGTATTGATCAGCACTCACATAAAAGAAGTAGAAAAACAGAATAACACAGTAGAGAACATAAAAATCGAAAGGTATAGTTACCGTGTCGGGAATTGAACCTGTCACCTCTGTTTATTTATAGAAATGACGTATACACATCGGAACCTACCAATCAAATACCTTTCTTAAATGTTTGTGTATTCTAGACAAAGCATTAAGGTCTACTGTGTTCGTAAATTTTTGCTGTGATTGTTATTCGACATATGCTTCATTAATATAAATTTCTGTAACCTATGGTGCCATTTCAATGGTTTGAAATGAATTCTGTCCGTATTTCATAGTTGTAGATTTCAAGCTGTACGATAGACATGACCAATAAGACACCTTTTATGGAGGGTGCCTAGTTGGCCATGTTCTTAGTGCACTTGTATTCATGGCGAGGCGCACACGCCGTCTTAAGGTGACAGGTTCAATTCCCAGCACGGTAACTATAGCTTTCAATTTTTATGTTGTCTAGTGTGTTCTTCTATCTTTCTACTTCTTTCAGTCGTATGACAGGGCCAGTGGGTTCACACTGATATCAGGATCATCTTACTAGCGGGTTCAAGTGCTTATAGTTATGGCTTTCTAATTGTGTTGTCTGCCCTGGTCTTGTGCCGAGCTAGTCTGGTCCCTTGAACTCAACGCTGTCGTCATTGGTCGACTGGTTAATGTTACAAAGCAACTCATTAGTTGGTGTTGTCATCACCTACTTAGACCATCTCAGAGTTCCCATATTTGGTTCACCAACACACCGAGGTACCTGGCGGCTCCTTATCGTAGCCTCACTTTTGCCAGACAACACTCAAAATTCCAGTAATGCAACGTTCGTGTTGTTCTGCTTTTGGCTTTCCTCTGTTCTAAAGAAAATCAGCAGTAAGATGAATATACGCAGACGCTGGAGACACGATCTGAATGAAGTGGGTGGTACGTTATCGCACTGCCTGTGTCTCTGGTATAAACTGGCCAGCAACATGTTTTCTTCAGGAGCGCTGAAACCTTGAGGTTCAGGCACATTGAGCCTTCACAATACTAATCTTAATAACCCCCCACCCCTGCTTCTCTTTTTTTTCGCCCACCCAACCTGGTATATTTGTCTTTTGTCTTCTCTATACATATCATATTATTTCGAGTATACTATTATAACCATTTGCCATTCGCAAGTTATTAATATTCTTTTTTTTTTTTAAATTTAAAGAGGGCATAGGTTCCAACTAATGGCGCCGCGGTGGTGTAGCGGTCACACGCACGCCCGCTGAGTCGTGGGTTCAGCTCCTGACGGACTTCCTTTTCTTTCCAAAAAGGATCTTGGCTCCCAGTCGACCCAGCCTTAAATGGGAGTACGAGGTACAGTCCTTGAAAGTAAAGGCGGCCGGCGTGATGTTGACCATATCACCCACCGAGTGCCGATTGGTCTATAAAAGATAGTCTAGCTGTATGAGCTAGAGGGAAGCGAAACTGGCGAAGAAAAAAAAAAAGAAAAAAAGAGGGACAGGAAAGAAGAAATGTGGTTAGGACAATAAGTAGTTACCCGCAGGATTGCAAAAAAAACCCAGCAAAAGTAAAGAAAAGACAAGGGTTATTCTGGTGCAGGAACAATAACATATTACTCATGGCTCAGGCGATGAATATTGGAATAGCTATTTTACACAGCAAGAACCAAAAATATATTACAACATAGGCAGCGTCTAGTGAGACCACGTGCACGAACTACAAATTCGATTCTGAATCAAACAAATAGAATATAATCACCATATTCATCTGTTTATTTTCCTGCACACAAAACTAGCGTGCTTCGCAGATGAAAATACATTAAGAATCAACACCGTGTTCGAACAGACAATGTGGGTACTCTAGCTAATAAAGATGAGAGTTCAGTTTCTCTTCTGAGAGATCTACTGTTAAAATATCCGGAGAGGATGCACGTGGAAATCTAGGTCTAACACAGTCTATCTATTTATCGTAGGGCCAAAACACATAATCAGCGAGCCAATTCGTCAGGGCTACATAATTCTCGTCTCATCACCGCAGACACAAGTGGCCGTTATTGGCTCCGCTAGACCTTATTTCAACTTTTCGACTCACTGACCACTTCCGGAGACTTCTGCAAACCTGCCAGTTTGAGTCCGCCGAGTGCAGCCAAACTAAAATTATTAACAGGTTAACTTCCTTTTCCGCCAGCCTGATATACCTATATGCCTAATAGGCTTGAAGGCGTGGAAAAGGGTCCTTTACTCTTTCCCAAACTTACAACGAAAGAAATTATTATATACAGTATTGGCAAAACAGCAGCAGCTGTTACAAGTTTCAAATGAGTTTAGAGAGCCTTCAAATTAAAGCCTTAAAAGTGTTGCTGAAATTACCGAAACCATGTTACTGCCTTTTAACCTCCCTGTATTGTCGTTAAGGATGTCAAGAGTGTTAAGCGCGTGACATCACAGTACAGCCGACACGATGGGGCTTAGGAACCATGAGCACCCACCCCTCCCACCTCCCGTCACCAGTATTTGGGGTGTGGTGGGTGGAGTGGGTTTAGACATCAAACCTTAGAAAATGTGTAAGAGCGCTAAATTGCAGCTTAGGCATGTACAGATGTTCTTTTTCAAGTATTTATTGATATGTTTCATGTGATTTCAAAGCCATATTTGTATTGCCATTCAATACTTAATTATTATTATTATTATCTGACACTTAAACAAGGCTTAACCCTCCTGAGAAGACACTTACAGGGTCCTCTACCCCGCAGTCAACCAGGTGCCAGCTCCTTAACAAATGTTGGCTGCAACTGCAATAAATCCCCAGTCCTTTCTCTCTCTCGGGAGATGTTTGGATATACAGAGGTCCGTGCTTTTCGGAGAGAAAAACAATCAAATTC